ACCGGACCGTATATGAACACACTATAGTACATCTACGATTGGCCTTTCGAAAAGAAAAAAGAAAAGAAAAAGGGAAGGAAGAAAGACGGTCGAGTAAAAGGGAGTCGATCGAAACGCGAGAAAATTAAGACGGTGTTTACTTACGTTTCCTCGACGTGAACGGCAGCTGGTTTACTGACGAACGTCGATGAACGAGAAAGAGTCGAGGAAAGAGGAGGTTGCTCTCTCGTGGAGGCGCGATCGTGAGAGAACGAAGAAAGGCAGCCCTGTCGAGGTTGCCAGCGATTAAAGCTCCTGCCATCTTCAGGTTTTTCAAATAATCGCCGCTAGAAGCAGCCACCGATCTGATCGCCAGGCGCGATTACCCTTTATTTCTGGCGACGTTGCACGCGGTACCGGGGACAAGCAAGAGGATCGCGGTTCCTCGACACCGCCTCCAGTTGGAGACACGTCGAACGTGCCAAGGTTCCGCTACGATCCACCGTCTTGTTCTTCTAACGTAAATGCTGACTCGATGATAGCACACGCTTACGATGTTGCGTGTGCCGTTTCCACCCTTCCTTCCATTCAAGATTTCCTCTTAACGATCCGAGAATCAACACCGTTTGTCATTCGCGCTTGTTAACGAGGGCTCGTCGTTGCAAGGGATGGTTAAATTAACAGGGAATTAGGGGCAAGTTATAATGAGGTCGAGAGTTTGGCAGTGCATCGAAGCGAATAAACGGAGTTCATTCGATTTTCCCGACCTGTTAAATAATATATTTTGCCCAGGAAAATTCGACCAAGAGAATGCACAGCCTCGCGCACATTCGAGATCCTTGTTCAGTTATATAATAATTTATGATTATTATGAAAATTTAAATGCAAGTTTTTCAATTTCTAAGTGGAACTTGTAATTCCTTCGATTAAAATTATTCCGACATTTTCTTCGATTATAAATGAATCGAAGAAAAAAATCGTAACTCGTTCATTCGAGGATATTAAATACTTTTCGGTCACGTGTTCGATCAGTTAAATATACACGCGTGGATCTCAATGGAACATACTTTTGTTGCATTCGAAAAAACATTTGGAAAAATTGATTTCCGTTGGATTGTGATCTGTTATGTTATATAAAAAAAAAAAAAAAAAAAAAAAGAAAGAAAGAAAGAAAGAAAGAAACAGTGTAGAATAAATTTAAAAATTTCCATGGTAAAATTTATATCTCGGTAAAAATAAGTTCTCCATCGACTTTATCGCTTTGTCAAAGCAAACATCCGCGATATGATGGCCCAGCAAAGTGTATTTTTTCAATAGAAGGAACGAGCAAACAGATCTTAAACGTAATGAGCTTTCGTAGAGTCAATGTATAGAATAATTGTACCATTCGACTCGCATACAAAAGATATGCATCTCGATAATTGGACGTTTCTTAGTATCCAACGTTTACATATTTCATCGTTACAATTTTTTCCAATGAAAAAATTGTAAAATCGATAATTCATATCACAATGGAAGAGGAATGAATGAAAAATTTGAATAATAACCGGTGAATCAAAAATAATACGAAACGTAAATTAAGAAAATAAAGTGATGGTCTTTCAATTACTGGAATTAATATATCTTGTTTCCTTCTTTCGAACACGAAATATTATCATGAATTTTTTTTTTTTTGTATCAAAAAAAGCTTACACTCTGTCTGCTTGTTTAAAAAAGATGAGAAATCTCGACTTGTCGGAACAAAGACAAGCTAAAAATTGCGTCGACTATTTTTAACGAGGAAAGTTATATTATGAATCATGAAAGTTGAAATAAACAATTCGAAAGAGAGAGAGAACTTTTTTCCTCTTCTCTTTTTCCCTTCTACCATTTTATCAAATAAATACCTGACAATAGAGATATAGAAAAATGTATAGATAATGTGGATGCATAGCGAAACGAGACGTTCGTTGCGTCATTTATTCGAAAGAAGCGATAATTACAATTGACGCATGTATATGTATTTTCTGCGAGTGCGCTTTTTAATTCGTAATTATCCTTCGAATCGACGATTACTTCATTAATGTTCGTCTCTCGCACGAGACAAACGTTTAAATGATATTCTGCCTTGAAAGAAAAAAAGAAAAAAAAGAAAGAAAAAACACAAAGAAAGATATCAATGAAGGAGCAAACGTAAACAGTTTAATTTCGTATTGATTATTTCATTAATTACCAGATAAATTAAATTTGTAATCAAGTAACATTGACTTTGCGCGATGGAATATTTTGACCAATCATTTTAGATATTTAAAAAAATAAAAATGATTTATTGCGCGAATCTCAAATTTAACTTTAATTTAATTCTAGGCAAATGTTTATTTCTTCAAAAATTCAATTATTCCTATACATTATTATTATTACATAAAAATAAATTAGAAGAAAAACACGAATCTAATGGTACATCGCAAGGGACTAAAATTTTCTACTACACAACAAAGTCGACATTCTTAAATTCTCAACATCGTTCAAAGATCGATCGACATCGTCCATCCTCAAGATTATCCGAAAACTAAATTTCCTTATGGAAATGATACTTCTTCGAATTGTCGAGTCACAAATTCCATCCATTAAATCGTGTTCTAAAATGAATCATCCAAAAATCTCTTAAAATCCCCTACGAATCGAACAACAATCGACATGCAAAACACTTGACCCAAAATTTGCGCGTCGACTCTCGATCTTTCTCGAGTACACGTGCTCCATCACGTACAATCCCGACGTAATACCGACGTATACGTTACGTTCAATTCACGTCACGAAATTTCGCGTTAACTGGATCTCGGCTTCGAATTCGCGGAGATACAGGAATGGCGCTTCACGGCCACGAATGTGGTGATCGGGGTCACGCGATTCGATGCGATTTGAATGAGAAAATGGTCGTTCGATTGAACGTGATCGATCCTCTTATCTCGTTCCGGTGGCTCGTAACAATAAGAGAGGAGAATAGACGCCAATTCCAGCCCATGAACGCACCGCGAGGTATCGAGCGGAATGTTTCCCCATTTGTTCCTTTCCTCGATGTGGCGCACATGCTCGATCGCCGGTGCACAAGCGCCACACGCTGAATCCGCGTGTACGGAAATTGTCACGTTGCATGGAAATTTACGCTCGCCGATTTCTTCTTCTCTGGCTGGAATATGCTCTTTGTTGATGATCGATGCCGGTCGCGTATCCACGAATAGAATTAGACGACACGTTTCAAAGATTCTCTTCGGAGAATCGATTGCAGAGCGAATATCGAATTAGGTAAGATTCTTCGGGGATTTTTTTGGGAGGGGAGGGGGGAACGTAGAGACAAAGTGAAAGTAAAAAGGAAGCAAAGTAGAAGATTCTGAGTCATCTGGAGATTCCTGTTCGGTAATTCCCCGTCTAAATGCTATTGGGTCGATCTGCCAGGTTTTACATTTTCGAACGATTGACGACGCGTAGTCGAAATTGTCTCGAACATTTGTTAGCATTTTTCCTTCGAAGATGTATATCTACGTTTGACGAAGAACGTAACTGCGTTGCTTGATAATTCTAGGAATGAAATACCAAATTTATTTCGACCGTTATCATAGTATAACGATGCAACGAATTAAAGTCCAGTGAGGTTTTTAATTGGTTAATAGAAGACACTTGATTGCAACGATATACTTGAACGATACAATTGCGATACAAGTATAACCACTTCAAAAACGTTAGAGGACAATATTTTCATTGCCTCTTCATACAAGGATAATTTGAGTCGATAAAAATTCTAGTTGCGCGTTATAAATCGAATGGAAAATTTTTCCGATGATTCGTACACTATTTTTCGATAACATTCATCCAACCACATCGATCCTTGCGGAAAACTCGTCAATTGAGACAAATTTTCTCTCTCTGATTAATTATACGATTAATTACGAGCTACGATAGATTGCGATCCTGAATAGTGATATATATAATGATACATTATCGCCCAACGCTTCCAATAATGATAATTCATTATCGATTTTTGTTTAGTCTTCTTTCAACAATTCGTTCAAAGAGGTAAAAGAGGATTTTTCGATCCAAATTTCGCAGAATTGATGCTCGACTAACGTTCACATTCTATCTTTTTACAATTAAAGGCAATACGATAAGGATAAATTTATTTCTGACAATTATTTAAGTTATTATATATAATGTAGATAGCTAGAAAAAAATTCTACTTCCTATGGTTTAAGTTAAATACAAATATCGATAAAAGATAAATGATTTGCCACAAAAATCACATCGTTTAGATTGCATTAGATTGAACGGATTGTTACATTTTTATTGGAAATTTGCCGTTTTTTTCTTTCTTTCTTTTTTTTATTGTCATGGAAGATCGCAATTTTCATGCGAATTTTTGTGTATTTACAAATTAACGTTTTATTTGAATCGCTTGTGAATTGCGGAATGTTTTGTATTTTTATTTTTAAATATCTTTAATATTTATTGTTATTATGAATTATTATGAATTGATAACTCGAAATAAATAAATGTACGCAACGTGCAACAATACATAAAAAAGTGTTAAGTACGATATATAATATAGACAATCAATATTTTTTCAACTTTTCGTTGCGATTATTTGAAGTATTTGCACAGACAAAGTTACGTGGATTAACGGGACGATTGTCGAGTACTTGAATGTTCGAATTACATCGAATATCCGACTTTTTCGAGTATTTAAAACAATCTTGATCGAAAAAATTCGATGGAATTGTACATCACACGTGAGATTTTTAATCGCGACATTGAATTTCTTTTTACCGACTTTTATTATAATTGCGTTTTAATTACGACAAAAATTACTCGTCTTGACGATCGTTATACAGAAATATACGTTCGCGATTTCGTTGATTAATAATAATTCTTGAATAATTTCGAAATGGAAGAATGACTTTACAACAGAAAAGAATAATTAAAAACGGATGATCAAATATAAATTTAATATCTAACGTGTAACATATAAAATAATTAAACGTAAGAAATGGAGGAAACACGATTCGGTTCTTCGTTTATTCGTTTTCGAATATAATTCTATTTTAATAGAATTACGTTATTACATATATGGTTTTATTCCAAATAAATTTTATTCCATTTTTATCACAATGTAAAAATATTTGTTGTCATGTATATAATAATAATATATTAAATAATCAATGAATGAAGGGATCAAATTCGTTTTTGACAAAAAGTGGCATTATCAAGATTCATGAAAGCAATGTCAATTAATCGATGTGATTGTGATAAAAAATACAATAATAAATGGGAGAGGGGAAAGCGAGAGAAAGATAAGTACGACAAATTACGCCTCGATCAAATCGTCGATAATCTCGATTGCTATCGCAATTATCGGCACGAGACACTTATCCTGTAATCAACACATTCTCGAGAAATCGATAAAAATAAAAATAAAAAAAAAACAAGAACGATGGTAACTAGAATGCAACGAGGAATCTTTCCATTATGATACGTGATCGAGATAATGCTCCACTCGTGATAATGGTATCGGATACGAATACATTCCGTGGGATTTTACGGATATTACGAAATGGAACGATCGAAAAACGAGAAACTATGCCTATTTTCCTCTCGTTCGAATGCATTTATCTTTCTAATTGATTTCGACGAATGAGAACAAATTGATTACGAGGAGAAAAAGATTAAAAGTTAAATATCGGTGATCAGGATGAAGAGAGAATCGATGATGTGCGATAAATGCATATATGTAGCAATAATCGTGAAAATTTCAAGAGATGCTTTTGAAGAGATGTCGAATATCGATGATGCGGAAAAATGAAAGTTTTCATGGATGTTGACGTTTTGATGAAATAAAAATTATTCGTCCTGAAACGAACGAATAGCATTTCGATGTGATCGAAAGTACATTCGATTACACTTACAATTACAAAAACATGGATTTCGTTTGAACACATCTGGAGCATCTTTCGTTTGTTCCAACAGCGATCATTCGATCGGTAAAATAATTAAAACAAGAATTCGTGAAATAAATCTCCATATCGCGATCTTGTCGATACGACGCTTTTTTCGATGGAATAATAAAAAGAAAGTAGGTCACAGTCGTTGGCGATCGATAAAAAAGATCAATGATAATGGAATGATGTGATATCGCGATGATATTGTAAAAAAAAAAAAATGACAAGGAGAAAGGTTAAATATCCTTCTAACGTTAAAATCATGATCGATGATGTTTCATTTAAATGGGGATATCGACGGTGCCTTGAAGTTCTTTGTAAATCTCCTGATAAGTTTTCCCTTTGGTTTCTGGGACTAGCATATGCGTGAATATCGTGGCAGCAACCATGATCGCGGCGAAAATCCAGAAAGTCATATCTGTTCCTAGCTCGTCGTTCATCGTAGGGAACATTTTAGTCACGACGAATACCATAAACCAGTTCAACATGACCGCAACACTGGAGGCGACTGCTTTCGTTTCAGCGGAGAACAGTTCACCCATTAACATCCATGGCACTGGACCCAATCTAGGGAAAAAAAAATTTCGTTAGAATTCGATAGAAAATGAAAAATTTTTCATTTGAAGAATTTACATAGAATTCATACACAAATCTAGAACTGAATTCTAAAAATATGAATAACTAATTTGAAAGCACTTCGATTAAATTTTCCACCTTTCCACTAAACTTTCCATAAATAAAATATTCGAATTCGATTCGAATTCCTTCTAATTAGAGATCGATGTAGAAGAAAGAAATATACTATTGTTTCCATTTTCGCTCGTTACTCGTTACTTATGATTCAACTTACCCAATGGAAAAGGCGATCATAAAGACGATCAAGGAAGTCAATGGTAACCAGCCAAGCGAAGTGACGTCATTTCCGCTATCCTTCTGCTTGAAGTAATATCCAAGCGCGATCAAACTGACTGACATAACACCGGTGGAAATCATGAGCAGCGGCTTCCTTCCTGCTCGATCAACAATCAACGCCGCGACACCTGACATTACCAACTGCACAACAATTTATACCATAAATGTCTCTCACGAGCGAATTGTTTTGTTAATTCGCGTAGCTAGAACGCAATTTGAAGGAAAAACAATTGAACGACGAGATTGTTCGTTCGAGAAAACAAATATTTTCATCGCAAATAAAGAAAGATTTCCTAAGATTTGAATAATTTGCTAATTTTAATATCTAGATAAATTAGTAATAAATTATTGGAGCATGATATTTATTAATGCGAAAAAATTAATCGAGAAAGATACATATAGGAAGTCAAACCTGAACCAGTGCAACGAAGATAGACGCCAGTTCCGGCGGCATCGAGCTTCCGGATGCTTTGAAGATCATCACGGTATAAAAGATGACGGCGTTCACTCCGGAAGCTTGTTGGAAAAACATCATTCCGAAGGATGCGATCATGGCCTTCTGGTTGACCGGAATTTTTGCCATTTCAAAGATGTTGGGCTTCCGGCCGGAACTCGCGTCCGCCGCCATTTGCAATTCGTTCAGTTCCTGTTTAGGATCGTAATCTTTCCCTCTTAACACCGACAACGCCACAGTGGCATCTTGCTTTCTGCTTTGACCCTAGATGTTTACGATAGATTATTAAAAGATAATTAATTGAAGAACTCGTAAAAAATTCTCGTACTCACCACCAACCAGACGGGAGATTCGGGCATCCAATAGAAGGTAATCAAGAAGAGGAGAATGATGAGGACGCATACAAGGGCGAATAAAGTATAATTAAGAACGCTTCCGAGAATAAAAGAGACAAAAATTCCAACGGTGAGGAACAATTGGAAGAGCGCACCTAAGGTTCCCCTGGTCGAGACTTCGGCGATTTCGGAGATGTAGGTGGGACCAAGGACGCATCCTGCTCCAACACCAAGACCAACCAAGAATCTGGCGATATAGAGAAGCTTGACATGCGTTGCAACCAGAATAATTCCCCACGACAAGAGGAATGGAATGGCCAGCAAAAGAAGAGATTTTTTCCGCCCCATTTTATCCGCCATCGATCCTGATGGAATAGCACCACAAATGGCTCCAACAGCGAGTAAAGAGCTGATCCAGGAACCTTCTTCCTGAGTGATTATCAACCATGAATCGGCTGCGTAGAGCTGAGGAAGCACCGGTGAAGTCCATGCCAAGGCTGAACCGACTCCAACCACCAAAAAACAAGCTAGAAAATGAGAGTTGAATTAAGATGACTGAAGAAAAAATCAGTTATTTTTCATATTATCGAAAAGCGTGATTATAAATTAGGTAAAGAAGGAAAATTAAGCTTAATGATATAATTTTTAATTTTAGTATTCGTTTCTTTTAACGATTTAATATTTCTACGTGAATTTATTAATTTCGTAATCGATTAAATAATTAATTGATTATCTAATAATGATAAATATTTCTTAGTCATTCGTGTTACACTTAAATTCAATTACAAAATTGCGTCACAATAATGTTTCGAGATAACATAAAAATTCGTAATCGTATCGAAAATGAAAAGATAATCTTTGAATATGTGTGGAATAAAACAACGTATGGTATATTTATTATATAACATATAATTGATAAATAATGTTGCAATAATGATTGATCGATGAGAAAAAGATATTATTCCGATTTAATTAATTTTGAACAAATGTTTAAGCGATTTAAACCAAAACGCATTTCTTAATTCTGTGAATGAGAATATTTTATGATTTGTCAATAATTGTGTAACTTCTCCCACGAATTTTCTAACGAAATTTCTAATTTTATTATTTAAACGAAAGAAAACGGAAGTAAAATGATATATTAAATTAAAGCAAATAATAGATAACTGGATAATAGATAACTGGAAGCAAAATTTAAAGAACTATAAGTCTCTTAAATCTTCAATTTTTCAATAAATTCAATAGTAATTATTCTCTCTCGCTCAAAAATCTAAAAAAAAATTAGTAAATTGCAAGGGATAAAATCGAAAAAAACGAAGATGAGACAAGAAATAATGGAAAGATATCGAAAATGGTTTATCGCGTGTTGAACGTCTTCGTGGAAATACCGGAAATAGAAGCAAGGTATTGCCACAGCTTCCTGCTCTCCTGGCGGACAGCCGCGTCATTAATCATCCCCGTGCCTTCCATTTCCTCGAAATTAGCGAGCATCCACTCGAATAACGTGTCTGCACTCGGAGAACGCCAACTACCACGATGGGATCAAGACGATTTCTCAAAGAAAATCAATGATTCCGACGATCGATCGTTCCTTGGACCGATTCAAATCGTAATCGATCACGAGTTGCTCCTATACGACGAATCGTGTCGAATCGAGTTTTCTCACCACGAGCACCGTTTGTCAAATCTCGGATCGACGAACACTTTAGGTGAACCGCATATTTCGGATAAAGCAAACCCGATCGAGTGAAACAAAATGGAAGTGATTACGGCGAGGACCGTCATATATCGCGCTCACTATTATCTGCCCATCATTATCACTACTCTCATTTATTATCGCTTATAATCAAAAAAAAAAAAAATCGTTTGGAAATCACGATTAACAGATACTTAACAGATACATAACAGATGGACTAGTTGTGTGTAATGATTTTAAAGGAATCAAATTGAATGTATAACGTTATAAATAGTTACACAATGATTACATAATTTTATTTCATAATTTTACAATTCTACATCAAATCGGATAATCTGATAAAGAATGGGGAAAATTTTTTTACAAAATATTATTCATTTATTATTGTTAGAATTTATTAATAATGGTATTTTGTATCACTTACGATAACATTACTTTTTTTCTGTATTGCTATTTACTTTAAACTAAAAATTATGGTATCATTTTGATTTGGAAATTTTTCTTCTATAGTTCCTCTATAGTCGAAAAAATTATTTCAAAGAGAAAACTTGTTTTTGAATCTTTGAAATTTTTCAATAGAATTTTTTTAATTTTTTAATTTCTATCCTCGTTTAAAATCTTTTAAAATCTTTTGAAATATCTATAATTATAAATTAATGATTTATATACACGAATTGTTTCGTTCATGTTACGGTTGAACAGGAAAGAATTTTAACTTTCATGAAATTTTTTTTCAAGTTTTCTTTTACGACTTTTCTTTCTTCGAAATTTAAATTTGAATCGCACTTAAAATTGAATAGAGATATAAATAAATTGCTCGAAACTTCATCGTCGTATTTCTTCTCATTTAATTCCGTTCACTCTTTGCACATTGAATTTTCAAAGGAAAAAGAAGGAGGTCGTAGAGATGAAAAATGTTCATCAACTTACCGTCTCGATATTTCACGATATTTCCTCTGGGATTTATAAAATATCTCGAACTGTGTTTCGATGTATCAATTCGTTATTGGAAAGGTGCGATATATTATAAATATTTATATAATATATGTACATGTAAATATAACATTTTTTATTATTAAAATTAAATTTCAAATTAATTAATAATTCAAAAAACATATCAATCAACTGAATCGTGCACTATGATATATACGTTTTTTTTTGTTCTTTGATATCTATCAATATCGATATCATGATATGTTGATCACCGTTTCAGTTGCATCGAATAACATGTTTACCATTTTTGTCCTTCGTGTGTCCCTGTTTCGAAGAAACCTCAATCTCATGGTGTGGTACAGTTAATTATTAGATATTGGATTGCAAGATTTTTTTTTATTATTATATTTTTTATACAGTCTAATATCTAATATAAATGTGCAAAAAATAAACAAGTTTTATTATTTTTATTTTTTTCTTTTTACAAGTGATACAAATTTTTCCCTCATTATTTTAAAATAATCTAAAATTTAATATTTGATCTTAATATTTGTTCAAATCTCGAACATACTTACCATCGTCGCTTCATTATTTCGATCAATTCTAATAAATCTATCAATAAACAATATTTAAGCGTTCTTTCAACTCTTCAATTAATTAATCCTTTTAAGAAGCCACAAATCGTCCAAATCAACGTTATCATTCAATCGTATTTCATATCGTTGATAATTCGATCGCGATACGAAAATCTTTCCTCATGTTTCTTGTAAGAAATCATTGATCATGATAAACCATAACTCGTCTTTATTAATCTTTCTGCATATTTTAAAACTTCATATAATTATTATATAATTATGAAGTATAAACCAATTCTATTTTATATTTTATATTTTAATTTGCCCCAAAATTTCAATTTTCCCAAAAACTGTATTTTCTTAATTTTCATATAATACGTTTTATAATATAGTAAAAATTTTCACTTAACGTCAAGCTGAAAAAAAATCCCAAATAAAAACCTATTACCATAATTATATCACATATTTGTAATTTTTAAGATTACAATATTTAAACGACAAATCTAATTTTCGTCGCAAATCTGAATAGAACCTCTCGATACGATAGGATATCATAATGGAAAGGGGCGATATGACAATTAGCCGAGGCAAACATCATGTTGCCATAGAACGGCCATTATTACAAGGGACGATAATTCTGATGGATGATGATCGCGCAAACCCTCGTTATTCAGCAATTATAAATCGAATCTGTGGCACGTGGGCCAACAACGATACATTATCAACGTCGATCTAGGTTCGTCGAGTTACCACAGGAATTTAATTATTCGAACAAAGCCTGTTGGCGTGGATAGAACCCACTTCCGGTTATCGGCGAAGATTAATAGGAAGACGTAATTCGAATCATGGCTAATTTCAGAGAACCACAACCGCCTTGAAGAAGAAGAGAGATATAAAATTTTTTAAATTCTCCAGAGATGATTATTAATTATTATGAATTAAATTACTTTCGTTAATGGACGTTTCATTAGCAACAAGACGAATAAAAATACGCGTTAACGGGAATATTTTAATGAAGTTATAATATAATATAATGGAGTTATAATATAATTGTAATTACCCTTTGAAAATAAAACGTGCAAACAAAAGCAATTAAATCGATTTATCAAACAGCTCGATTTGATTTCATCGCATAGAAAATGCTTACCTCAACTTCGAATTACCGTTATCGGGTTCTCAAGATATTTCAGGGTCATCATAAATCACGAATCATGCATGATTCTACGTATCTAATTATCCAACGGTTATTTTGTCTTCTTCAATCATATTTTCGAAAGAGAGATAAATCGAAAAAATAAATTTTATAATAAATTAAGATGCACTGATTCAAGTGATCATTCATTTTATTAAAATTGTAAAAAATTCTAATTAACGAGGAACAAATATTTACTGTAAACGGTGAACGTCGACTCGTAGCTATATAACACGATAAATCAATCGGTTGACAACGAAACTTTATCTTGGTTCGGAATTCGTTAAAAGAACGGGAAAGCAGTATCGTCAATAAATCACTGTTTGATCCCAAGTGATAACAAACATTCACGTCCACCGTTTGCAATCTTTATCTAAACGATGATACGGCTGAAGGAAAGAAAAGAAGCTTTAAGCGAAGAGTAAACGTTCGAGATTTTATCAGATTTTCCTTCCGAGATTAAACATTTACCCGTGATTTTACTTGTAGGTGTACGGTAGCTTCTCCGATATGTAACAGAGATATAAATTAAAATACTCACTATTGACGTCGATCGATGAAGAGACATTCTGGATCAATTGACATTTTTATTTATTACCTTTTTAAGAACTTCAGGCGATCAAGCATCAAGAGGTAATTATTATCTATTATTTATAATATTTCTTAATGGGATAAAACTTTTCATATGGATATGTTGTAACGACAGGCAAAAGTGCGGATACAAGCAGTGATAAGATAAGATGTATATAAATATAAACACGACATATAAAAAAGAAAGATAGATAATAAAGTCATAAAGTATACAGAGAATATAATAAAGTGAAACGTGTTGAAATAATATTTCGCATGTAGGTCAGAATCTGAAATCCTTAAGGATTTTATTATTTATCTATAGCTCTTGATGTATCTTATCAAACATTAACGAATGTAGCACGAAATTTACCAGATGTTATTTCAGGAAGTAACTTGCTTTACAAAGGATAAGTGTTATTGAAATTTTCACGAGGATTGTAATCCACCCGTAAATTTTCAAAGTATCTAAGAGTAACTATTATAATAATCATTCGATATTAGACAGATATTTTCTAATATTTATTAGAAAAAACCAAAATTATATCTGTCTAATCGTTATAATTATTTCATAAGATTCTTTTTTTCAGGTTCAGATTATTTCCGTAAATCGTCCTGTCCATCCTGAATCGATGAAAAATAATACATCATTTTAGAGTGATTGATTTATAGATCAATGATATTTATTCAATAGCCACAAAAAAAAAGGTACCATTTATTTCTCATTATCTCATCATAATCTTTTTTCACTTTCTGATTTTTCTTTTATCTTTTTAGATCCTTCACTGCAATTTAATTATATCTGTGGACAATATCCATCCTGGTTGGGAAAGAAAAATATATCAGAATAACCTTATATTACTTTCAATTATAGTTATGGAATTAAGACTTAGAAAAATTGCCATATTCGGAGAAATATAATCCTATCACGAAAGATTTCAGCTATAAGAGATCCCGATCTATCAAGGATGATAGATTTCAGTCATAAAAAAACACTCCAAGATCAAAATTAGAAGTTCCAACAATAAAACGGAAAATATAAGAACACTACGAAACAATAGAAAGAAAAAAGCAACGTCATGAAGAAAAATTAACATTACGAAGATATAAAGATTTCAATATTTTCAGATGGAAGAAATGAAGAAAACGAAGAGAATGAAATAGAGCTACAAAGTTTTAATATGAAAATACGGAATGCTTGTTTGTATATATATGTAAATATATACAGGCTATTTATGCAATTTATGGTGCATATATACTATATATATTCGAAATTTAAGAAATTAAAATTAAAGATTGTTGTCTCATCTATAAACTTCTAGGTGATTAAAATTTTTGAAATGAAACGAGGAATACTAGATCGATATTGTTAATAGTTAGCCTCGACCGGATTTTATGCCGAATATTATAAAAAAAAAATTCTAAAAATTGATTTCTAGGTGAAGTAAGTAATATTAGTTTCCTTATTACTCGTCATAAAATATACTACGAATCATTCAATCGAGAAAGTCGTAAAAATCAGACAGGAGAATCGCAATAAAATATTTAAACAAGTAATAACTTTCTTTATAAGAAAAGATAATTCCAAATCGATTAAATTAACAATTAATGAAAATATTCGATCAATCTATTATATGTCTACGCGTATTTCGAATACACAATACAATTTTCCTCGTTACCTTTCGAATTTTTCTCCAAAAGCGATATCCGTTCATCCTCCCGTTAATCTTTCAATATTTTCCTCCTCACGTCGTTATTATTTTCGATTTCAACGAAAAAAAAAAAAAAAACGATGGAATAATCGAAATCGACGGATCGTAACAGCCTGCCAGAAATTCATCGCCTCCAGATTTATTGTTATCGAACGGTTGACCGGTTTTTATTGCCTTGTTGCACGTTTCTAGGAAAGACTGTGTTATTTCGTGGATCGACCTAATTCTCGTTAATCGATCGCGTGTCGTAAGAAGGTAACGAGAAATCAAAATAGAAGGGAGGAGAGAAAGAGAACAATGAAGGAAGCAGCGTGTGGTCCAGGAAAAAAAGTTAATTAATTAAAAGTTAGACGAGGGAACGAGGATACGATTAACGAGATTGAACGTCCCCTGGAAAAAGATTTCTGTGTCGAATTACATGGTTCTGAAAAGAAATTAGTGGACGTTTCTACGGGAAACATGATAAACTTTTGTCCTGTCGCGACTATTGGTGAAGAAAATTTTTAAAAATTGGAATGGAAATCCATGGTCTGGATAAATAATAAAAAATATGTAGCAAGGAAATTTTAATGAAACGAACGGATTGAATATTTTATTCTCTCTCTGATAAAGATTTCATCGGACCAATGAACGTAGAGATTTCATAAGTTGAACAAATAGTAATTTACTTTCGTTTTGTCACGACTACTCGTGAGACAACTCGTCTAAAAATAGATGAAATTCGACTATAAGATAAATAATAAAAATGGCAAGAAAATCTTAATGAAGTAAGACAAATATTTTATTCTTCCTCTGACAAGAATTTCATCAAGATAATCAATCGCAAAGATTTCCATGATTCATAAACTACACGAATTGTAATTTATCTCTGTCTTATCGCTACTCTTCGTGAGAAAATTCGTCTAAAAATGAATGAGTAATTCATGAAAGTAGTAAGTGAATAATGAAAATGGCAAATACAAATGACAAATAATAAATAGAAAGAAGATTTTAATGAAACGAACATACCAAACATTTTGTTCCCTTCTTACAAGGATTTCATCAAGATGACCAATCGTAGAGATTTCCAAATTTCCAAGAGAATTTCTCGGAACGAGTTATCTCGCCATTTCCTGTGCAAACATGACACGAGGGAGAATAGTATTCCGACAAGTGTACCAAAATCTCGTTCGTGTGATGTACGTAGTTTTGAGAAATTGTATTCCTTTTCCTCCTGAGGATTATAAATTGTTGATCAAGCACAAGAATCATTATTAAACATTCCTTCCTCCTTGTATATCGTTTCCATTCTTTTTCAAAATTTTTCTTTTTCCTTTCTTCTTTCTTTATTAAATGGATCGCAATTTTTTGATTCATGATTTCCGAACAATTCCAGTTGTTAAAAAAAAAAACTCATATTTACCATTATCCAAATACTCCATTTTCTTACGCTATCTTTCTAAGACAAATTTCTCTATCTATTGGAATATAAAGAATTTGGAATATAAAGAATTTAAAAGCATAGGACATTCATCGTGTGTTTGTTTCTCGATGCAGAATATTCAAAGGAATCACCGACACGATTCATCGATGAAAACGCGATGCGAAAGATCGCGTAGCAGCCGAATTAAAAATAACAAAGTTTACCTACAAATTACCATATTTTCTTTGATATTTATCGTCGCAAGAAACTTGAACACGATAAAGTTCAAGGAAAGCAAGAAAAAAAAAAAGAAAATAACCGGTGAAAAGATTGCGGTTCGACTGGTTCTATTAACCTTATTTCTATTCTATTCAGAAAGAGAAACTTTTCCATTGAATTAACGAAATTGATATTCTACGTGAAAAGAAATACAACTCACTTTGTCACTTTATCCGCAAAAAAGAATGATGCACGAGTTTAACGAAATTTTCTATTTGGATCAGGAAAAGGGGAACGGATATTAACAAAAAAAAAAACCACAATTTCTCAAAATTACCGCTTCTATTTAAAAAACAAAAGTACACTTTCCAACTTTTTTCATTTAAGTATAAAAAAAAAAGAAGAGCGATTTTCTTCTAAATATCTTAATAATTTTCCAAAAGAATTCGTTCGTTTCTCTCAGAATTACAATGATAGAAACGTATTGTTCTCGAGGTGCTTTTTAGGGAAAAAAAGAAAAAAAGAAAATGAGTAAAAAGAAACGCGCGTTTCGTCGATTAAATGAAACGACCGGGGAGACGATGGTCGATAAACTTATATTAACGTAAGTACAAAACCAGTAAAACTTGTACGAAAGAGTGAGTGGGTGAGTGAGTGAGTGCGTGCGTGCGTGTGTGAATGTGTGTATACAGTTAATAAGCGCAAGCACAGCGCGTAATTTTCGACGAGACCGATAGTAACGGGTCGTAGGATGTATCGTAAATTGTCTGCGATAGTTACATTGGTCTTAACGTCGTATCTGCCCGAATACCGATTGAATATTACGGATAACGAGCCGATATCGAAATAGGAACGATAATTTTTCCTCGAACGGTAATTATCGGTCGAATCATTCGGCTGAAAATAAATTCGCGCTTGCCCAACGCTCGATGGTGGTTCAGACCGATAAACTCTATCAAGTTTATCGTAAGAAAAGTAAGGGTAATTAAGTATCGCCCGTTCCCTAGAATCGTGAATCGTCGCTTGAAGCGTCACGCTGGAAACCGCGCTCGTGAAACCGGATTTCCTCTGCTCCTCCGGAATCGATATTGAGAGAACTTTTGTCTTCGATGGAGTGGTTTAAGTAGTCTGACGGAACTTATTATACCGTAATTACCGTTTTAAATCTTTGATTCGAAGGATAGGATTTCTTGATTTCTTCGAATGATAATGATTTCTCGCGATGGCGGTTGAAGGAATTTTCATACGAAATCCTTGGAACGAAGAAGAGATCGATGTTTAATCGAACGAAAGAAAATGAAATGAAAATGCAATTTCTTGATTTAAGGATAATGGTTAACCAACCATCCTTAATGGCAAACACCATCGATGCGAAAATCAATAACGAAAGGCAATTTTAAGCTGGAATATGATTGGTGTCAAGTAAGTTCGAGCCACTTCAATAAAGAAGGTATTTTATCCCGGTCGTAAAAAACAATGAGAAATCAAGGACTCGGTAAAGTGGCACGATAATATCACATCGGCGAGGAACAGAGGAGAACCAGTTTATCGTATCCTAGTATAGCTTAGCTAAGTATCGACTTACGTGCTAATAAGGCCTGTGGTGTAGGTAATCGGAATAACTCATCGATTATCATTGTGATAGCGCTCGTTGAACCGCGGGTAATGATCGTTTTTGGTGGGGATTATTGCAGTTGTCTACGAGTTTGCCGATCTCTCTTTGACAAAGTAAAATCTACGATTACTCGTAAAAATTGCACCGGTATCATCTTTGTCCGATACTGGCTTAACGTTACATTAAAACGAACTTAACGCTAAAACTAAAATACGAAAATATGAAACTAAATACGCTTTATTTTCTCTCTTGATTCTCTTTTTTTTTTATCTACCTTTTTATCTACCTTCGTTCTTGATTTCGAATCATGTGTAAGAAGCTGGTAAGGCATACGCGAGCTTCTTCGCGGCAAAAATTGATCGATCGAACCATACGCCGGAAGGAGGTTCGACGATTATGATCTATCAGCGTCGTGTTTTGGGTAACGATAGTTCGGAAAATTAGGTTTTTCAGTCTTTATCACGTGTCACGTTAAATTGACGTGAAGAAAAGCAAAGAAACGGTTAATAAACAAAGAAAAAACATAGTCTAATTCATAGATCGATTCATTGATCGATTATTTAATTATATCGATATATTTAAACGGACGAAAGAAATCTTGTAGATTATTCTACGATCGTATGCGCGTGCGGCAAGAAATATATTTCCATTTGGAAAATAAAAGTTACGTTCGATAACGAGGTCCGTGTCGTTCTGTTTCGATAATCGGAATCGAGATCATTTCGATGATCCGTCGAACAAAGATCACAGACGTTGTTCCACGAACGATCTTTTGATCGATCACGAAAAGAAAATATTCCTGGTCGCAACTGAATTCTCCTGTTCGTCAAGAATGCACCTGTGAACGTAGAATCGTCTAGTGTGTCGAAAGTAAGCACAGTCAAGGAAGTTCAAATCTTAAGCAACGCGTTGTACAAGAAAATCAATTTCCCTGTGTCGGTTGTGTACATCAACTTGTATCGCCTGCTAGTCATCTTATCGATCAGGCTTTTCGTCTCTGTTTCGCTATGGTGAGGACTCCAACGGATAGACACCACGGATATCCTGGTCGTCTCCCAAGGAATCGTATCCAAGACCTATACCAAACACGATCACGGTGAAAGGAAAATATTTAAAATAGAATATTTGGAATAGACTTATCTTTGGAAGAGAAAATCTTTCGAGCATGTTAACGACGTATGTCGTATCGTGTAAAGATCAAAGGAAAGACTTTCTTAAAGAACAAAAGGGCAAAATATCGTGGGGATATATATTGGAGATAGAATTTCATATAATTTCCAGTGAAATCGATAGTTACCTGGCCGTCTTGCGCATCCGGACTATCCAAACTCAGGTAATCCAAAGTGGTGGCACTATAGGCCAACAGAACGCTGTACAAAGGAAAGCATTTCAATCTCGTGGTCGGTAAGCCCTCGTCCGACGACACAAGACTGTTCGGACCCTCGCCCAATTTAGTAACTTGAACTTCGGATTCCTGGTGATAAGTAATCTGAAATTCGAACGGGTCCACAGAGATGTGAAAGTCTCGTTAAAGTGCGGTAACGGATAATTAAAAAGGATAGATCGATGAGGTAAGAAACGTATATCTCTATTTTATATTTACCTCTTTGGTATCCTTATCGGTGCTGAGGCAAGCATGAAGAACTCTGGTCTTTGGATTTCTGGTGCTTCTATGCGCCTCGAAGAAGCTTCTAGGATCTGTCAGGATCAGGACGCCTCTCCAACTTAAGTTACGTTCCAACCAGCCCGTACTAGAGATGGCACCTATCTATAAAATCCAATAATTCGTGTATATATTTTTAAGTAAAATGTATATTTTTCTTTTATGTTGAACTCGTCGCGCGAAAAGATCTCGATTTTCTACGACTTCCGTGTATTTTGAGTAATACGAGTTTCATCCAGTCGACGATCACTAATTAAAATTTCATTTCAACGAGCGAAGTTCTATTGTAATGCCATTTACTCCATTTAATCCCAGTTATTTATTATTTAATCAGTATAAAGAGATCGCTTATTTGATCGAAATAATTTCTCGTTCATTTACCTCACTTTACGTTCGTCGATTAAAACGCTTCAGTTCGCGAGGAAGCAAATGGATGTTTACTATTTCTCCAAATTAAAAGTTAACTCAACTTTTTAAAAACGAATTAATTCTCGATGCTTCAACACTCGAATATAGATATGAAAAAGTCTCTTCTTACCCTGCTTATGTACTCCACGTACACACCCTCGCGTTTTCCCTCGGTCAGACCCGCCACGTACCTCTCCTCCGTTGTTTGAGTGGCGTTGGACGGGTCCTGTTGCGTGGTGGGTTTCAATTGAACCTCTCTGATATACGCGACCAATTCCGGATTGTCCATCGAGACGCTGTTCAACACGTAATCTCTGGTCATATTGGCGTCGAACGCCTGCCTCCTGCAATGAAACGTTCGATTTTATGTACACCAATAGCCTAGATTCTTCATTAAATCCAGCATGCATGGTAGTGAGCTGTATCTCGTTTAAACCGTACAGAAGATAAAATGATCGTTGATGGATATTCGAATACCTCTCTGAATCTCTCTGTATCTGTATCAATTTATCGTGCATAGTAAATGAAACGGATATTCGAAAATTCAAATGTCTGCATACGTATTATTATTATGGTAATTAATGTGATGCATCGCTAAATAAAGTTTGATCCGAAATTTAAGATTTTACGAGTCAAATTTGAATTACATTTTATCGTTAATTAATTAAACAATAAATTTGTGGAAGATGCATCGATAATTTCAAGAAAGAATTTTTGAGATTGCTGAGAAAGTATAACTTTATAATTTACGCATATTTGAGATTGACATTTCAATAAATGAATTAATCGAGTTTCGACATTAATAATGATTTCGTTAGAAGCTCGTAAACGCTCTTTCTTTGACAGAGCTTTATTGAACAGCCTTTGTCACGAGCGACCGAGGGAAAGGATAATCGTCGAGTGACCTAGTAATTAACTTCGTTTAACAATCGCATTTCTTCAATGTGGCTAAGGCTAAATGGAACGATCTTTGTGGATCTCGAAAGATAAGAGGACAGTTATTTGATATATCTCAAGTGTTATTAATTATTTCAGATGTATCAAATATATTTGCATACTTTTGTATTTAGACTATTTTATCATTTAGGTGATAAATATTTCCTACAATGTAAAACCTACATTCAGTATTTTTTTTTTATTACCTGCAAGATAAATCACGTCGTAAAAAATGCAAACAGGATTCAAATTATCCAAATATCTCATCAATCAGCGTTAATAACAATTCACACAATTCTTATCAATTGAGCGGATTATCCATATTTTACCACGGATCCCGGCTAACTGCGATCAAATATTTAACTCATAAGATAAGATCAGAAACGAGTTCGAAAATCTAAACAACGATGCGTAAAAATAGCGAAATGATTGGATGAGCTGCGCATAATCAATTGAAATCGGCGATATCGTTCGCAATTTGTCGTCCATTTTTTTTTCTCCTGATTGCCGTAAATTAACGCGTCGATTGTCATAATTTTCAAAGCCGTGAGCGAACGTTGAACGGATGATAAAAGGAGAAGAAAGGGTAATAAAAAGCGACGAGATCCGTTTAATTATTTAATCCCTCGCGATATTGTGCACGTTCTCTGCTAAATTAATGGAAGGGATAATGGAGAGAAAAGAAAAATAAAAAGTGCATAGATATATAGATGGATACAACGACAGCTTTAGGGGCTTTTTCCAAGTCTTTTATTTTACGATGCTGTAAAATTGTTACGTAGCGCGTTTGATTGCACATATCCGTATAAAATAGGGGATAAAGAAATCGAAGGATATAAAAGAAACTTGAACCACATCTTGAATATGAATTTATAAAGCATAAAACTTTACCTCGATAAAAGAAAATCGAGAATTAAATTTTGAGGATGGATGGATCTTGATCTTTAATATTCGTTGGATGTATAATGGCGAATAAAACAAAGATATTTATAGGAGATAAATAAGGATTTTAATAGAGCGATTTTACGGCGAAAAAAAAAAATTTACCTCAAGGCCGCAGCCTCGCTCCAGACAAGGAGCAAGGCCATGGCAGTGGAAAACGCGGCAAGGAACGCCAAGCAGGGGGCCACTCTTCTCCACCAGCTTTTCTTATAATTCGCCATCGTGGTCCCTGACAGCGTCGAGCCCGCGGGTGGCTGTAAGACCCCGGTGACTGGGGGCATCCCGGTGGGGGCCATTCTGCAATCATAAAACCGTCTCCCATTAAACATTCGTTATTATACCACGCGGGAGGAAATTTTAAAGACCATTTAAAAATAACTGATTTCACATACGTTGCTGAATTTTATTTCTAATTAAAAGAAGGTATGTTTATGTCGAAGGAAGCGAATGAAACGAAAAAGATATCTCGTCGAATGATCCGTGATAATTCAATAACAATGTAGACTATTGATGAATGATAATATCTACTTTTTATAGTATCTATTTTTTCTTCGAATTCTATGTAAATTTATCGTGGAACAATTGTGATATTGATTTTTTAAGAAGTCGACCTTTTAAAGTGCCATTTGATAAGGGAATAAATCAAGGAAGTCTACCGCCATTTACGATACTATTTACTTTATCCTTTTCTATATTTTTTATTCTTATGAAGTCTTTCAAACTTGAACAAATAATTATTATATTAAAATAATCATAAAGTTGTAAAATATAGAAATATAGAAAATACAGGAAGAAAGAAAGGATATTGATAAAGAGGGTGAAAAGGAGAGGGAACCTTTTAATGAACTTTCTCGATACGAACTATTGATCTTGGGTTAAGTATTTAGAGGAACCAGCTGCAATGATTCGATTTTCCTCTACGTTAGTCCGCATCGTGATACGATCGTTGCGTGCGCAAGGTTTCCTTGCAGTTTGATTTAACACCACGTTTACATTTATCAGAGAATTTACCTCTGCATACATATTTCGTAGCGCTGTTGCAATTTGAAAAGAAGCTCGATCGCGAGAGAAGACAAAGATCTTGTAGAAAAAATTAATTCTTGAAGAATTAATTTGTTCACCATTATATATCTTGTTAAATGATATAATGTAACAAAATATGATAAAATATAATATCGATACTTATGATAATTACGATAAGAAAAAAATTCAACGAAATTAAAATTTATTAAAATTCTATTCAGCCGTAAAGTAAATTCAAAGAAAATTCACCCTTTAAGTGGAATATATCTACATTTCATGTATACTTCCTGTACCTCGCCCTTTATCCATTCCGTATACATAGCGATGAACGTCGCTGCTTGGCATTTCACGCGATGCATCGTGCTTCGAATGGTTATTATAACGAAGCCTCCAACCCCGATATCGCTGCAAGACGTATCCAGTCGACACACACAGTCGTAAGTACAATACGAATTGTTCCGCCGCATAATGCGAACCATAATCGATGCGCTGCTTAAGCGACTTGTAGTCCCATGACCAATATGGCCGAGGAACAGAAAGGAATAATCCTGGATAGAAAATATTTCACGGAAGTGAAATCAGTTTTTCGATCGAGATTTCGTAGCGATCCGGTTTGTGATGTCATCCATTACGCTCGCGCGGTGAATAGCTAAACTTTCACACGATACCATAATGCAACTGCATCTGAGTAGCTGATGCAACTCTAAGTATCTCAGTCCTGATACAACGGCTGGCCCCGTTCCCGATCGATGATATCGCGGTATAACATCGTTATGACTTTGATGTATCGCGCGATGGATCCATTGTAATTTCGTTGTAATAACAAGAAAATGGTAATCAATTGACACACGTTCTGTAGAAAAGATGGCCGACTTAGCGTGCACCAGACGTGGATTTATAGGGGCAATTTGATTTACGACGAGGACAATCGGGAACGAGAAACAGAAAGAAACGAAAGCAACAGTACAGCTTTGGTTATTAAAATATTTTTCATTCCCTTCGTGCTATTTCTTTACCCGTTACATTTCTTCATATATAATACATTACACAGCTCGTTTACTCTTTTCAGACTCTTTTCGTATTCTATATATTTTCTTTTTCTTTTCTCTTTTTTCTTTTTTTTTTTTTTTTTTTCGTCATTTTCCGAGAACAAGTGGAAACATTTGCAAGGGAACGACGGTTCTTGAAGCAAACCTCGTTACGTGAAAGAATGTTACACGCGGAAACAATGTTACATCGTGCTGCAAAATAAAAGAAACTAATGAGGAATAGTAAAATGTAAATAGCTTCAAATGTTTTCTATCCTTTGAATGAACTTGAAAGTCATGGTAAGCAGTATTATTCGAGAAAAACAGGAAATGAATTTTTAAATTCGTTACATTAAATAACAGCATAAAACGATGAAATTCTTGAATATATGAAGAGCAATATACCACGTGAAACAACTAGATATTTCACATTTAAACAATTGCAAAGTAAGACACGAAACACGAGTAGCTAAGCATTTTTTAAGTGAAATTTACAACGAATTCTTAACTAGTCCATCTACGTGAAAATATTCAAATACAAACAAGATATTCCACGAGAAGTTTGACATAAATTCTAGCTCAATAAGAAACTTCATTCGTACTTCGTCTCAGTCTAATTTCCATAAGGTAGCCAAGATGAAAGAGAACAATTTTGTACGTTAAACGCCTCTTAAATTGGCCGACCCAATTGTTGGCGATACTCAAATGCCTGGCTTCAATTTCCACCGTCAAAAGATCTTCTTCGTCTTTACTCCACTTCTCGATCTTGTTTTCAATCGTTCAATTGTTTTCACGACGCAAAAATTCAACTTACCGAGAAGAAGGTTCAAGGGTTTAAGACTATGACAAAGAACGCGTGCAACAATATATCGAAAAGGGGAAACGAGCCACGAAATAATAAATCGCATTGAAAGTGTTTTTTTTCAACGGAAGCTTTATGCCTAGTTTTCAACGATGCGATTGTTACCCGAGCTCGGGATTGGTAAAGTATGTAAGTACGTGGAATCGAGTCTGTTTGAATATCGTTAGTGACCTCCATTGTCGTTGATTGTAGTTGATCCAATGTTTATGAAACTGAACCTGCTTTGCCATGATAATCGTGTCGTGAAAAAAAAAAATGAAGATATTCTTTGGAAGCATAATATCAATTGGAAAATGACGAACTGGAATAAAACAATTCTATAAAAGTTCAATAATAAAAGATTGTCTTCATCGGAAAGATGCTTTTTAACAAAAATCGAAATTTATTTTTATTAGAAATATATTATTGTTTTCTTCCTTAATTAAATATCTACGCGTATCCGAGTATACGCGAAAAGGTTGGTAAATTTATTAAAAGCAATTCACTCTAACAAATGTATATATGTTCAATTGTATGTATATATGTTCAATTGTTGTTACAAGCGTGAAATTTGATCACAAATAACATTCTGATACCGCAAAATGCATATACCGCAATAACAGTTCCGTTTACAATTTTATTAAAATTCATGCCCAATTCATACTCGAGTTAATTGTAAACGGTACCTTTCAATTATGCAATTTTGCGATATCTGTAAATATTTTCCAACCAACAACAAGTTTAAATTGTTTTACGCATAGTCTATTTTATCTTCATCATGGCGTGATCTTCTCAAGTGACTGAACGATGAAGAGATAAAAAAAAATGAAAAGATAAATCCAGTATCGGGAATTTTTACTTTGTTTCGAGTCACGTCGTGATAACGTATATATATATAAAAATAAATGCAAAATCGATCCGATAGTAAAAATTCTGTTCAGATATCTCTTAAAGAAAATCTACAAAAAATTTATTTTTCGATCTAAAAAAAAAAAAAACAATTCGTTCAGACGTAAAACAAGTTTTATCCAATATCGAAACAATTCATCAAAACATCAAATAACGATCATTATTTTCCCCATTTTCCTTTTTTGTTTGCACAGTTTGTTCCTGATTGACTCTTTCATATCACATCTCGCGGCAAACGGTAAAATGGAATTCTGGCCGAATTCCCCAATTTCGATCAATCGTGCACGAAGACAAGACACGTGTCGCCAGACACATTTAGGAATTTTATCATTGAAGAAAAAAAGCAAATTTCTTATAAGTTTCCTCGTTTATTTATAAACTAATCCCTATTTCAACGTATTTCAAAACAAATTGTATCTACAACGACAAAAACAAATTAGAAAATCATCCAGTGACACTTCTTACATGAAACGAAACGAAATTCGTGAAAGATCAAGACTACGAGGAAGAAAAAAGATTTGGCGCCATTTCTTGAATTTCGTTGATACGTAGGAATTAATCATCGTTAGAAAGAGATCATTTATAAATATATATAAATCATGATGGGACAAAGGTATGCAAATACACATAACTTTCAAATCACGAAGCATAACAGAGAATTGAATTCGTTCACTTAGGAAAAGTCAGCAGGTAGTAAACAAAACAAAACTCCGCAGAGTTCGTATCCATGTCAGTGAAAACGCGGCTTTCTACAATACTACTCTTCGCTTCGAATCCCTGTAGCGAGCGTATACGCAAAGTCGAAAACAACGATCTTCGCGCAAGTTTGTCCGGGAATTTGAACGTCGACATCGAAGCGCAGATACAATGTGATATATCGAGCGGAAACAAAGTAGATCAAAAGCGGAATGACGCAGAGACAGGAGGCGAACAAATTTCTCGAACTCGCAGAAATTCCCTCGAGCGTTGTGTGTTAAAATACGTACTTGGCTTTCACGGGCTCCATGCCGGTCCAGAATAATTCGGCAGGCGGATAGGAAGGTTCAACGGCGTACAACATTCACGTGGCTCGTCTCGCATCCCGTCCGTGACGCGACCGTCGCCTGGAAGACATCGACCAGGCAGCTTCACCAGGCCGACCTCCTGCACATCCTCTCTGCCGACGTCTTCACGCTGCAATCCAACTGTATTTTCCTTTGTATACAGCTCGTTTCTTTTAACGATCGACGATAAAAACAGCGTTAAAAAATGGAACGAGCGTGTCTGCCTATTTATTTGTGCGTGGAAACTCTTTGTGTTTATAATCAGCTGGATACTCTCTCTACCGGGCGCGAACAAAAAACGTTGGTCGGCTTCTCTTTCTTTCCTTTCTTTCGCAAGCCGATTCACAAAACCGTGGGATTCCTTTGTTGACGTTTCGAACGCGTCGTTTCACTTGTTCACCAACCGAATTCGCATAAGGTTTGCGAAGAAAAGTGACGACACGTCTGCTGCTTATTGTTTCGATCAGAGTCGAAGTCGCGTCGCTAGAAACCGGCCCTTACGAACGTTCCCCTCGATCCTCTTTCCACGGAACTAGAAAAGAGAGACTAGCCGCGCGAGCGTGAACGATCGGCAACCGTATCGACGAACGTCCGGCGTCGATCGAGTGGCGGCTCGGAGGCGTCGAGGTCGAAGGAGTCGCGGAAACGAAGAGAACGACGTTCGAAAGCGTGGAGGAGAGCACGGAGATCCGGTAAACAGATTTTCTGGACGGAGGAGCGTGTGTATACGCGAAAGTTGATTAGAACTCGGCGTGCTACGATGGAAGGACGGGAAGCGGCGAGTGTGTGTGTCGTCGAATGTCGCACTGCAGACCGGCACACGATCCACAGCCGTCCCTGTCGACGTTTCTTCCCTCCTTCTTTTCCTTTCTTTTTCTTTCTTTCTTTCTCTCTCTTTCACTCTTCCACTCTTTCCCCCCTTTTGCCTTATACTCGGACTCGCTTTCTCTCTCTCTCATACGCATACACACACTCTCTCTCTCCCACTTACGATTCTCTCCCACTCGCACGCGTTTCGCCGGCTGGTGCGTCCCGGTGCAGACACACGACGGCGTTCGCGACGACCACGACCACGACGATGACGACGACGACGACGACGACGATGAACACGTTAGCTACGATCGGTCCGTTGCGTTGGCTGACTAGGGAAGCACGCCAGAAGTCGCGCGTCGCTTCTCTTATGTTTTTTTCTCGCGTTCTTGTCTTTGAGAAACACGCGGCGCTCAACGAACCAAGCGCGATGATCTTTTTTTTTTTTTTTCTCCCCTCGTTGGCACGGAGAAGGAAATGCAAGCGTATATGCCCGTCCCGTGGCGAGAGCCGACTGCCCTCCAGCACCTGGAACGGCTGACGGTAACCGGGTACAATGCCTCCTATATCGAGTGTCCTTCTTTAAACACCAGCCCGCCATCCGTGTCCTCTCCTCGTCTATCCCCTTCAATCTCGCTGTCCCTCTCCCTCGCTTTTACGAGGACATTCCGTGCTCTCCGCTCTCCTATTAGCGGCCAGGTAAAACCCAGTGGTTCTCAATACACCTATCCACCATTTCACCTATAGTTTGTGCCTTGGGTAAACTACTAGATACACGAGGCTACCTCGAGTTACTTTCTCTCTTGGTTCCCTCCCCTCCGTTATACGTAGGGTAGCGGACTTCGGCTTACGAAGGGACACGGTTCTACGCCGTTGTTGGTCATCGTGCTCTTTACGCCTCGTTCACGTATACGTCCGGTAGCGTTGTAAAGGCGTTATCGATCCTGCAACGACTCGTGTCCGCCTTTGTGTTCTCTGCTCGTAGGCCGCAATCCCTACGTGAAACGGTCGCTCGGTTTCTTGATTGATTCGATAGAAACGTGTCTCGTGGCTTAGGGATAGACGATCGTTACGTGTTTCGAATAGAAATAGAGATTAATTCCAGCGAGGATCTTTTTATAAGATCGATTCGGGGATTAAATTTAGCATTGAAAGGACGAATCTAATTTTGGGATATGAAAGATCTCGATGAATTTTAGTAAAATGATGAGAAGTTTCGGTTAGAGAACTTTTTCATAATCGTACTTTTTTTTTTTTTACTGTCGTTGTATGTAGAATACGAGACGAATATTGTTAATTGAGGGATATAAAGTTTCAGAGGGAAGGGTTCGAGGTTCAGCTTTTAAAGTTTTTTTTTTTTAAAGTAAAATTTAGTTTCTTATTCAAATCCCTTTGAAAGAGACGATTTTCAGCCGATAGAAAAATAAAATTCTTTTAAAAGCGTGTTATTTAATGTATTATATCCTTTAAATACATCTTATACATTTACTATTTAGCCAAAAAATATTTCTAATTTTTTTTCTACTTTTTTAATAAATAAATACACTTTTGAAATATTCTTTGAGAATAAGTCCACGCGTTGCTAGTTTAACAACGAATATATTACAAAGAAATGTAATATATAATGGCTCTATAGTCGTAAAAATCTTCGAACGATATTTCTCAATTTAAAAATTTCTAAAAATAACATCTTTTTCCTTTACATATGATTGAAATATCGAAATTTTTATACCTCATTGACAAAAGGATATCCATCACGCGAATGTCTATATATTCCGACCCGTAGCCATTTTTATCGAAACGCCTTCCAAACATTATTTCGATGAAGCCCATTTCTCACGAATCGGAGACTATTCTAAATTGGCCATCCCGGTTGATTGAACGGAAGAAAAGAGAAGAGACTACCTTCACCCAGCTCCACTTGAGGCGAAACTGCAAAAATAAATAGGAGCCGTAAATAATTTCTCGGCCGCAGACTTCTCTTGAAAATAGAAACCTCTTTCGGATTCTTGCAGTATATAACGATCTTTTCGTACGATGGTTTCAAAAATTATTAAATTTCTTTTTAAAAATTTTATGCTAACTTTATTTAACTCGAAGTTAAATGAAAGATAGATTCTACGAAAGTTTGTTCGAGAAAAGAAAGGAAATTATTTAAATTTACGAAATTAACATTGATAAGATTAAAGAATGTTTCGATTAAATGATGAAATTCTTAGAACCAGTACTTACCTGGTTCGTTCAATTTACACTGGTCTTCCGAAAGCTATTGTTTATTCAACAGTCATTAACCAATACGGGGAACGAGGCTTCTAAGTAATACATGGAACACCTGGAACCCCTAACAAAAGAACGTGTCTCTGATGAAACCTCAAACCTACACGGTACGTTCAGTTTATCAAATAAACGTGTGCAACAGAATATTAAATAAAGATGTACTACCCCTCTATGTTCTCCGTAACATGTATACTGTTTACTGTATTACAACTCGGATCTCAGTGAACGTAATTTTGTTCCGTACATTTGTTATAAAACGTAGATATTAATATATGAATTAAAAACCAGAGGAAAATTTGAAGGAAATATTTTTATAATAATGTATCGATTAATAAATAAATCGCGATTAATTAACATTTAATATAAATTCTAGATTCGAATTTTAAATTTTGTCTATTTTTAACGTATCATTATAAATATTAATTCACACATAATAAAACATGCATGTACGTAAAATATGACATAAAAATGATTTTGTACGATAGATTAAAACACAATACGTGCATTAAATCTTCAAATCCTAAAATCGAATATCTATCAAAAAATCAATTTACATGGGAAATAGAAAAAGAAATATTCGATCCGAATAAATCATAACAGACTAATCAATTCGCGAAGGCAATGTTCGAAATGTTCATGGAGCCATAACCAAAAAGGGATGAAATGATGTATGTTCGTCGAAGAGGAAAAGTCGCACGCCCTTCGACGCAAAAACAACGAGCAACCCAAGTGAAAGGAGGAAACAAACGTCAAAGGAATCATATAGTTCGAATATATATATGTGTGTGTGTGTGTGATACAGACTGCGTAGGTGTGTGAAAAATGCGAATTACTATTGATCGGAAGAGAATCGTCTGCCGCGTGTGAGCCACGTAAAAGGAAACGGAGACAGCAGCTGCGATGACGATGGGAAACTTTGTCGTCAACCTTCGCTTCGATACGTTTGACCAGCTTCGTTATTTCGATGAAAGCAGAACGACAGCAAACCACAATCGAGAACCAAGACCACCATTGTTCCCGAAGTCTTTCATGTTTTCGAAACTGTGTGCTTCGTTGCCCTTAACGCCATTGTGACGTCATCTTTACTACGCTTTCACCAACATTTCAACGTCCCGCGAGAAATCGAAACGCGAGAACGAATCCCAAAAGGGAAGAAACACGATTTTTATCTCTGGTAACGAGATTCTCGTTATATTGCATTTCACTAATGTCTTAACGATTTGTTTTAGCGCACACAAGAAGGATGATGAAATATGGGTCTGGTTTCATTGAATTTTCTTGGAATATTATTTTGTTCTATCGTAAAAGAAATATTGTTCTGAATTTTCTTGAGTATTATTTCGTTCTATCCTCGAAGAAAATATAGTTTGAACGATAATAAATGATGCGTAAGATCCTACGTACGAAAAAAAAAAAATTGAGAGTTATGTTTGAATCACGAAAATTCGATTCGTATAAAATCCTCGAATCGAAAAATTTATTTTTATCGTTTAATAATAATTTAATAACGTCTAGTTTTTTTTCTTGACTCTTTTCTATATTAAAATTGAATAAACCTCGAACGTACAGCGGTGACAAAATGAAATGGGATATATGAAGACTGAAAAACGAGAGAGAGATTCATTTTGATCACTTATGACATTGGGATAAAAGCGACGAATAATTGTTCTCGACGTTTGAAATGGAGTACCCGGATAAAAACCGAATCGGATGAGTAGTCTTTCTATTGTTCGAATTCCGTCCTCGATCCGATTTCGAGTATGCAGATGGGATCGAAGAAAGAATAGAGAGTTCGATGAGAGCATTCCTTCTTCAAGAAATTGTCCAATCCGGAACTTACTACGATCCATATCTTGGTATCCATATATTTCAAGTATTCTATAATTCCGATTTATTAAGAATCTTAAGATGTACGATGTAAATTTTACTTTCTATCGTACATTTTTTATTTTCAATTTTATTTGATCCTTTAGTAACTTTCATCTTTAATAAATATTTCGATTGAATATATAAATTTATACTATATTTATTAATTTATTGATTATTTTCTTAACATTAAAGAAAAGGAAAAAAAGAAAAATGCAATATCTGCAATAATTATTTCACATTTTTTCATTCTTTAGAAGATTCTAATTTATTCTTACAAAAAAATATTTCTTTTAGCAAGCATCAAAGTGTTAGAAATTGATCAACATTATCAATTACTGTTTAATCGATTAACTGCTATAATGAATGAAGGCTTCCAATGTTTATAATTAACGAAGATCGGTCAATGAATTGGCGATTCCTCCAAAATCATTCCTGATGACTGAACATTCAGGGATCAATGGTGAAAAATAATATCACCTCGAATAGGGTCTTCGCTGTCCCTATATGTGAATAAATTTAATTCATGGTTTGATAAATTTCAATATTCAAAAGAGTATTAAAATTCCATCATCAAAGAATTTTTAACTAATTTGTAAAAGAGAAGATATCAAGCCTATTTCACGGAAGGTTTGAGAAGGTTAGAGAATTTCTAGAATGAAAAGTAACATCAGAGCACAAGGAGAGGAATTTCGTAAATTGAAAAAACCGTATAATGGCATTACAAAGATGGAATTTTAGTAATAAGAAAAATAACATAAGATGTTATGTTTTCAAGATAAATAAACGATAAAACAACAATACTTTCTATGTACGAAAATATAAAAGATTAATTGTTAAATTAAAGTATATTTATTGTGAAATTATTGGAATGCAATATACATGACTGATAATGTCTATATCTAAACTTTATCTTTATCAATAAACGTTAGAAGAAAGTTACATCTAAATCGAAACAATCAGTGTCGTTTTAATTCAATAATCCACGACACTTCCTCCATCGATTGTAACTAAAAAAAACAACCGAAGAATTCTCGTGTAAAATAACGAAACACGAATTCCGATCTTTCTCCGGCTATTAATATCCTTCGAGCTCACACCGATGGATCCTCCGGTTCATCCATCACGTCGTGAAAAAAAAACATATAGACTCATTTAAAAAAATGCAGAAGTGACGAGAAAATACCATCCACGAAGAAATCGTTAACAAAGATCCCTTTTCATTATTCCATCTTACGATAGAAATTTTCTTGTTCCAATAAAAATTCCCTCTCCCTTTCGCGGGAAGAAAGAACCAACCTTACACACTATTAGCCAAGGAGAAGAAGC